TAGGAAAATATTTGAGTAATTAAAGAACTTTGTTAATGCTGATATAGAATAAGCATTATGGAACATTAGTGGCCCGAACAATTAGATATTATAGTAGCCGATGCAGCACGGCAGGTATCCAGGTACCCAGGGATGTGTAAGTAAATATAGAAAATGAACAGTGGCAGAGATAGCCCTTAAGGATTCGGTGATCCAGACTATATTGACCCAGAGAGATTGTGGGAAGTTTTGAGTTTGTGATAAAAAAGCTCCTCTGGAATTTTTGTTCCATTTGGGAAGGTAGGCAATAGCAACTCATATTTAGAGCTTGCAAGAAGCATATGCAAAAAAGAGGTAACCGTGAATAAATAGAGTTTTAAAAGGTACGGAAGTAATATAACCTGAATTTTCAAAATAAGCGTATGATCCGATACATGGAGATCGTATTGTAGGAAGGCAACAGTGGGAGAGGGAGACATACATTATTTCTCCTTCCCAACATCCATTTCCTCATCTCTTGGAAATAGTGCCTTTCGGGAATGATCTTTCCCATCTCTCTGTCCCTGTGGATTGGGTGGGGCTGCCCCACTTGAACCAGAACTTCACATAGCTGCTTTTGAAAAATGAGAGCAGTGTCTCCCTCTGGTCCAGCACCTGGTTCTGGGATGCCCATAGGACCCGGGCCAGGTTCATGAGAGCCCTACCTTAGACTTTTACTAGAGCATAAAAATTGGAAAAGAGAAGTGATCTTTCTCTGGGATGGAGAGCTTTTCTAAAATGAAGTCAATGCAGTTATGAGACATTTGAAGTACTTAGAAAGGGATAATGCCTGACTTGATTTAGATGGGTGGAAGGAGATAGAGAAGAGTAGGGATATGGCAAACATATCTTTGAAGTAGATTTGACTGACCTTCAACTTTTGCTTTATGAGTCAGGGTAAATGGATGGTGACGCCAAATAGTGTGAGGAAAGACAAAGAAACTCAGTTTCGTGAATAAAGAACTCAACAAATCTCTTCTTACACTTGTCAAATTTGAGAGAACATTGCCCCTTTTGAGTGGATATGTCAGGAAGACAATTGGATGTATGAATCTGAATCTTAGGAGAGTATACGAACTGTATATATAGGTTGAATTTGAAATAGGTATGGAGTAAGCACAAAGAACTTAATGGGGCCCAGATCAAGCCTTAAGAAATTCCAACAAAGTAAACTGAAAAGGAGCAGAGGATAAGACAAAAGATAGCAATTGTCAAATATTCATTATATTCCCTTTACAAATATGATTCATGAAGAAGAATCTTAGCAGACGCTTAATTTAAAAATGCTGAATATGGCCTTTGCTGTCAAAAAACACCTGCAATTCCTTAGGACCATTAAAGCAAATGTCTATATGAAGTTAACACTTTATTGTCATTTAAAAATTTGTGCTTTCTGAAATATTTATTCACTTCTACTGAGGAAACTTTTCCACTTGACCATTTGTTCCCAGAAAAAAATAAATGCCAAAGATTCTCAATTCCTCATGAAGCTACTGGATCTTTCTAATCCAGAAACTAATTTCCCTTCATTTTGAGGGCTGTGAAAGTCAAGGAGGGCTGTTACAGAGCAGAGACCACCTGAACGAGGGATGCATCAGTAAGTTGTCATACTTCCCCTGCCTCTTTCCAAGTGCACTTTGGATGAACCAAATGTTCTGTCTTGCTGAGGACTAAATAGAAAGAAAAAAAAAGTGTGAGTTTTCACAAAAATAAGTCTACATTTAGACAGAATATAATTATTTATACTGTTGTACAACAAAACCATTAGTTGGTACTTTAGTGACTCATCATGATTCCATTTTTTGTATCGTAAGAAAGATTCAAAATGGCAAATTACATCAAGTACTAGGCACTTAACAGCAATATGATATTTTTATAAGGCAAAGTAACTCCATGTATTAGGCTGAGGTATATCACCCTACAGTCTTTAAGTCCGCTGGACTGAAAGGAAGAGGAGATAGTCTCCATTTAACAAAACGATCTAGGCATTGTAGATGCTATAGTAAATAAGAGAGAATTGCTGCTCTTATTGACTTCAAATTCAAGTAAACTAAACAAAGAAGTAAACAAGAATGTAGTAGCTTAGGGACACGTGGGTGGTTCAGTCAGCTAAGCAATTGCCTCCAGCTCAGGGCATGATCTCAGGGATTGAGCCCTGAATCGGGCTCCCTGATCAGCAGGGAGCCTACTTTACGCTCTGCCTGCCGCTCCCCCTGCTTGTGTACTCTCTCTCTCTGACAAATAAATAAAATCTTCTTAAAAAAATAAAGATGGTAGTAGCTTAGATAATGATAATGACCCTTATGAAAATAGAGAAGCCATAGTGATTGGGATGTGGGGGATAGTTATACCAATTGGGTATGTTTGGGAATTACAGTCAATGTGCATCCTCTGTTACTTCCATGAGAGACCATGTGGCTCATTTACCCATAGTTGCTGGTCACAGTTGCTCTCATTGTACCTAACGACACGAGAAGGAAAGGAAATACCTCACCTAGAGTATCTTTCTTCCAGATCACACATGCATGAATTCTATAAGGCCAAAATATCCTTCCTTCCTCAAAAAACTATTGCTACTAAATTCACTATATGCCTCATCTCCTCATCTTCGACCCCAGCTTCTATGAGGAGTTTGTGTGATCTGTGTGCCACTGTGGCAGGGACACTGTGAGGATCTAAGTTCTGTTAGCTATCTCTAGTTCTGTTCTCATGTCTATGACTCTCAGTATGTCTGCTCCCTCACCTACCATCCCATTCATACTTTCTTTTCCTACAAAATAATTCCACTGGGCTTTCTGGAACTCTCCCTACAACCCCACCAGCTTCCCCCAACATTACTTTAACTGAAAACTAGGTGACTATCGAGAAAACTTTTACAGCTCTCCCAAATAGAGGTTGTTCATTTAACATTCTAGAAAAACAATAACCAATAATAACAGCAGATTTATTGTGCATTTCCTATATACAAGCACTAACCTAGACTGTACATGAATTTATTTCATGAATAAATTTCATAAATTCATTTCATTTAATTACTACAGCACTCCCATGAGATAGATACTTTTATCCATATTTTAGAGATATGAAACTGACGCAGAAGGGATTAAGTAACTTTCTCAAGGTCTACAGAAGTACAGAGAGATAAAGCCAGCAAGGGAACCTAGACAGTCTGATTACAGAGCTGATGCTCTTGGGGAATACTCACTTCTTTGATAGCTCATGGGTTAGAAATGGAGCTTGAGTTCTCATTGTTGCCTTGTTCCACAAAAGCTCTTCCATACACTTCCAAAAACTCCCATTCCTTGTTATTTTCATCCACCAAACTCCTGGCCAAACTCATCCACTAAAAATTTTGGTACCTAGCCCAGGGGATCCCTTTCCTCTTCAATTCCTGCCATCATCTCGGAAAATTCAATGTCCACATGGACAATCTAACCAACATCATATTCTAATGGCTCCCTGACTTCCTTATCATTACCAGTATATTTCACATCATCTCCCACCAATCCCCTATAACATGTCACTGAAAAAAATTTCCACTTCCAAAATCACAGACATTTTACTCTCCGGTGAAAATTCCATGTGCTTGCTCAGGAACCCCAATTCTCACTGTTCTTCAGTGTTTGAGCCTTCAGCTCCACTGACCTTTTCACTTTTTTTTTGCAAAATATGAAACTCCTTATACTTTTGATTTATTCTACAACCTTTCATTTCAGTTATTTTGGTACCAGTACACTAACCTCCCTTGTCCATTTGTTCTTTCAAAGCGTCCAATGAGAAAAACCCAAACCCTAAACCCAACAATTTTTATTACCTGTGTCTGTGTCTACACTCAGATTCCTGAACACTCTTTAAGGGGACTGGTATTCCTATGAATTCAATAAACAACCTCACCTACCCACAATCTTAATATAATTCTCTAATAATCTTGATCTAATTTCGATAACAAATATTTCACGTTTTATCCATTATTTACAAAGCATGATACTCTGTATACTCTTCACTCTCATCAGATGATTACATTGTACTTCACTAAAGTGATTGAAACCATCAGAAAGGAATTCCTTCCAACATTCTGCTGCCAAATATATCACTAACCTGCATTTGGACCAATCTTCTCCTCCTGCTTTCCTGATACAAAAAAGTACATGTTTCTCCTCCTTGAAGGCCAGTATGTCTACATGTTATCTGTGTCCCATCCCTCTCACATTCTCCAGAAAATACGCTAACATTTAATGCTTTAGCTTTCAGAGCCTCCGTGACCACAAGTTTTGCTATAACCCATAATAAGAAATATATGTTACATTGCAACCCAATACATATATATACTATATGTGTCATAAATAATACATACACTAGATATAAGTATCTTGTATAAACATGCAAAACATATCTTATTGTGGATTTCAGAGGACCATTTATACAAATAACCAGAACAAAATTTCTTAAGATTACCTTACAGTGCATGATACACTGATATTTTTTTTTTCTTTTCTTTTCCTTTTTTTTTTTTTTCTTTAATGCTGGTCCCCACTCACTAAATTAATGTTACAACACACTAATGAGTCATAACTTGCAGTTTGAACCACAGTGAATTATTCTATTCCCCTATAACTTTATATTGGAATTCTTTCATCTGAAATTTTTAAAAAGCTTTCACCCTCAAGTGCTCCTTCAGCTCATATCTTCTACACACTTAGACTTACAAGAAAAGTTAAATAACTTTTAGTCTCCACTTTTGTGTACCATTAACTTCTCAGACCAATCTAACCTCTCTTCTGTCCCACTACTCCATGAAAACCACTTTCCTTGTTTCCATTAACTACCCGCAACTAAATTCAGTGGATATGTTTCAGCCTCACCCTATTCGATATTGCAACAGCATTTAATGGTTGGCCACTCCCTTCTTCTTGAAAGACGAATTTCTCCTGGCCTCCTAGTTTACCACATTCCATTGGTTTTCCTCCCTTCTCTCTACTTACCTTCTTTCAGTGTCTTTTTGTTGTCTCCTCTGTCGGACTCTGAAATATTGAAGGCCACCTATTCATTTCTCTCTTCTCAGCATCTCTCTCTCACTCCTTTAGTTCTTGCTCTAGTTCTTGCTCTCATTGTTGGAATTACCATCTGTATTTAGGAGACAAGTGAGATGTCCTATTTATAGGCTAGAGGCCTCTGGACATTAGCTATGTAATAAGACTTCCTTCCTCTGGAGAATATACAAATGTCCTTAATAATTCGGAATCCAAATCTTCTCCTGAATCACTTCCAGGCATATGCAGTTACATAACAGAGAACTACTGCTTTTTATATTCTATGCTCATGATCCTGACTGCTTTAGCACATTTAGGATTGACTGTATAATTTTTGGCATATCAAAGAATGTCAAGATTTCATCTGCATTTCCTATTTAGTTAAATTCAAGGTTTCCTTTTCTCCCTATAAGACTTACGTATATCTGGAAGTTAACAGCTTCTCTTGGAAGTCAGCTGGAAGCCTTTGAAAGTTACATGCTCAGTATCTGAGGCATAGATTTTCGTGATGTATGAATCATCACACCAACCTTTCCTAGCTTTGAAAATTCTGTGTTCTGTTCCAAAAGATTTGGCAATTTCTCCTATCTTTAATTGCATTGTCTGGAGTGTGACCAGAAATCCTTTTACAAATGTCTCAATGAGAAAATGAAACTCGTCTTTATATTCTTGTGTATTTTTCTCTGATTAGGTACTATAAATCACTTGGTTGATGCCTTCAAAATGTGCAGATAATGCCCCAGTAACAAATATTTGCTTGGTTTATAAATTTTCATCTTGCAGATCCACGTTATGCTCTTCTGTCTTTTCAACTCAGTGTTGCATCCCAATGTAATAATTTTTATGAATTTTGGGCTGCAATTACGGTTCCAAATTAAATAAAAAATCAATTTTCTGTTTGGTTACCGATTTGCAAGTAACCTAGCTGAACTGATAATTAGATAAATATTCACCTATACATAGTTATGTTCACAGGCAGGGAGGACCACGTGACAGCTTACTGCTTTACCAAAGTTTTGGGATTCAGCGAGGATTATGATTAAAAACTGGCCAGAGGACCAAAAAAAGAAGGCATCCAGATGGCCAACAGACACATGAAAAGATGCTCACATCATTCATCATCAGGGAAATGCAAATCAAAATCACAATGGAATTATCACCTCATGCCTGTTAGAATGGCTAAAATCAAGAAGACAACAAGCAACCAGTATTGGCAAGGATATGGAGAAAAAGGAACCCTTGTGCACTGTTGGTGGGAATGTATATCCACTGTGGAAAACAGTATGGAGGTTCCACAAAAAATTTAAAATAAAAATTCTACAGGATCCAATAATTCCACTATTGGGTATTTACCCAAGGAAAACGAAAACACTAACTCAAAAGGATATATGCACCCCTGCTTATTGCAGCATTATTTACAGTAGCCAAGACATGGGAGCAACCTAAGTGTCCATCAATAGATGAATGGATAAGGAAAATGTGGTATATATACACCATGGAATATTACACCACCACAAAAAAGGATGAGATCATGCCATTTGAGACAACATGGATGGACATAAAGGGTATTATGCTAAGTGAAATAAGTCAGAATGAGAAAGACAAATACCATATGTTTCTACTAATAAATGGAATCTTAAGAAAAATGAATAAACAAAAAGCAGAATCAGAACTATAAATACAGAGAACAAGCTGATGTTGCCAAGGGTAGGGGTTGGGGTGGGCAACATGAGTGAAGGGGAGAGGACAATACCGTTCTCCAGTTATGGAAAGAGTAAGTCGGGGAAATAAAAAGCAGAGTATAAGGAATACAATAAATGATATTGTAATAGTGAGGTAATGGGACAGATGGTAGCTATACTTGTGGTGATCATAGCATGTTTAAACTTGTCAAATCACTAAGTTGTACACCTGAGACTAATGTAACATTGTGTATCGATTATCCTAAAAAAAAAACCAAACACAACAGTGTAATGAAAATGGCAACACCACAAACCAATAATAAATGATGTTACCTTAAAAAAAATTCAACATGGATTATACAATGTACCTCAATTTCAAAATGTTAAAATGTGGAGACAATCCATCTCTGAATCAAATAAAAACATCCCTCACTAAAATTTGCTTATTAAAGTAATTAATAAAATAGCAAAGAGTTAGTATACATTTTGGTTTTCATTGTTTAGTTGTTATGGGGAGAAGCAATTATAAAATTATAGTGACATGCTCTTAATTAAATGGCTTAAACTTAGTGGAAGAAAGAGCCCAAATTATTGAGTCATCTCTGAAAAAGGGTTAACTGAATTTTATATTTGGAATGTTTTACTCAATAGTAAAAGTGCACTTATTAAAAAAACATTTCATCAAGTCCTGTTAATAATTATTACTGAAGTTACTAACAAAAAAATGACTTTTATCCCTGATTGGACTAATTCATGTATGTTAAAAGAATCAACAATCAAAATTTGATGTGAGTACAGAAACACCCTTTAAAATACATCAGTATAAGCCAAATAATTTTCAACTCTAGTAGGCTTATTTGATCATAATACATTGTTCTCCTGATTCTTTTATGTTTCAACATGGCTAGTCAAGAAATAAAACCTCCCCAGTAAATGCAGTGCCTTACCAGTCCAACAAAGAGAGTCCAAAAAAGGGACAGCCGTTCTGAAAGAGATTCTCAAAATTAAGTTAAAGATGTTTACATAGTAGGAGTTTTCCTACCTATGTAATCAAATTTGGCTACTGTAATGACCAAATAATTCCCCCAGTTACATAATTTCCAAAAATGGTTGTGTTAATTTACTGATTGGATTGGCAAAGTGGTATGAGGTGGTAAAATATAACCTGTGGAATCAATTGACACTTGGCCCTGATCAGCCAACCTCATATTATTTCCCTTCTAAAGAAACAATATTGAAGAAAGATTAAAGGCATAGACTATTGAGTCAGACTGCCTAGTTTCAATGGTAATTTTGCCCTTTTTTTTTTTTTAAAGATTTTATTTATTTATTTGACAGAGAGAGACACAGCGAGAGAGGGAACACAAGCAGGGGGAGTGGGAGAGGTAGAAGCAGGCCTCCCGCCGAACAGGGAGCCCAATGCGGGGCTTGATCCCAGGACCCTGGGATCATGACCTGAGCTGAAGGCAGTCGCTTAACCAACTGAGCCACCCAGGCGCCCCAATTTTGCCCTTTTTAACTGTGGGATCTGGGCAAGTTACAGTCTCTGTCCTTTAGTTACTTCTGTAAAAGAGGGAAAATAACAGAACCTACCTTATAAGATTATTTGTATGAGCAAATGATGTAATACAAATAAAGAACCTAGAATAGAACTGGAAAAAAGCTTTTGATACTGATATTACAAATTTAAAGTGAATGTTTTCTTTCCTCAACTGGTTAAGAAATTGCTCCAGGACAAGGACGAAGCCTTAATTTTATTTTCACTTCCAATATTAGCATGCAGTAGGTATTCAGTGGACACCTGTTAGAAAATAACACAAAATGCATTATATCTTAGAAGAACATTATAGTATTAACTAGAATTCAGATTCTAGATGATAAGGATTCTATGTGAATCCTTCAGAATAAAATAGTTATACCAAAGCAATACTGTAGATAAATTACATATACCCAATTTTTCAAAAGTCTATAGATATGTTTAGGCAGATATAATTTTCACAAGACCATGCTGCCAGCTTTTAAATAGAAAAATTCAAGATCAGCATTTCCTAAATGATGTTTGTGGATATATTTATGGGGTTATTGTCTATAAGATTTTTTTAAAACTATGACTTAATTTATATGTTAAGATATTTAGGGCGCCTGGGTGGCTCAGTTGGTTAAGCGACTGCCTTCAGCTCAGGTCATGGTCCCAGAGTCCTGGGATCGAGTCCCACATCGGGCTCCCGGCTCAGCGGGGAGCCTGTTTCTCCCTCTGACCCTCTCCCCTCTCATGCTGTTTCTCTCTCTCTCTCTCTCAAATAAATAAATAAATAAAATCTTTAAAAAAAGATATTTAATGTAAGTATATTCTAGATTATCTGAAGACCATCTTAAACCTTAAATCTAAGAACTGCCTTATAAACTCAATACCCAGTTTGTGTTTATGATTGTTATATTAATATCCAACTGCCTTTTATTATACTTCTTAATTTTATCCTTCTTATATATTGAGAAAAATTCACATTTATATAAACAATTTAATAAAATTTTATAAGTACCTTTGGGAAACTTAAAGAGAAACAAAATTAAAAACTTTTGTCCTACAGAAGACTCTGTTAAGAGATTTATAAGATGAACCACAGTCTGGGAGAAAATATTTGCAAACCACACAGAGGACTAGTATCTAGACTATAAAAAAGACAAAGAATAAGTATCTGGATTATATAAACAAATTGCAAAACTCAACTGTAAAGAATAATCCAGCTAGAATATAGACAAAGACTAATGGACATGTCACCAAGGGATAAAATAAAATGTGCCATCTATATATCACCAAAGAGGATAGACTGATGGCATGTAAAAAAATGTTCAACGTGATTTGCCATTAGAGAAATGAAAATTAAAACTACGGTGAGATCTTACTACATATCTATCAGATGGCTAAAATTAAAAATAGTGACAATGCCAAATGCTGGCAAGCATGCAGAGAAACTGGATCACTCATACATCACTATGGGAATGTGAAATAGTACCGCTACCATGAAACAGGTTGCCATTTTCTTACAAGCTAAACACGCACCTACTATTTGACCCAGCAGTTGCACTCACGGACATTTATCCCAGAGAAATGAATACTTATGTTCATGCAAAAACCTATAGACAGATGTTCCTAGCAGCTTTACCTGTAACAGCTAAAAACCGAAAACAACCCAGATGTGCTCCAGCGGGTGAAAGGTTAAACAAATTGTGGCACATACGTACTATGGAATACTACCCATCAATAAAAAGCAATGAAGTATTGATATGTACAACAATTTGGATAAGTCTCCAGAGAATTATGAGTGAAAAAAAAATCCTAAAAGATTTCATGCTATAAAATTCCACTCACAACATTGTGGAAATGGCAAAAGTATAGAGACCACATTAGTGGTTGTTAAGGATTATGGACGGTGGAGGAACTGGAGGGCATTTAAAAGGGTACAGTAGGGGGACACCTGGGTCACTCAGTTGGTTAAGCATCAGGCTCTTGATTTTGGCTCAGGTCATGTTCCCAGGGTTGCGATTAAGATTCTTTCTCTCCCTCTGCCCCTCCCCCTCCCTCTCTCTCAAAAAAAAAAAAAAAATGGTACAATAGGT